CATCGCCGATGCATCGCGGGTGTATCGGCGATGCATCGGCGATGCACTGGCGACGTCGGCGATACACGGGCGACGTGGGCGTGGAACAAAACGGGCTCCACATCGAGCCGCCTCGCCGATGCATCGGCGATGCGGCGCGGCCCTCCGACCCCCTCTGCTCGGACCCCATTTGAGAGGCCTAGAGAAGTGGGGTCGGGCTCGGATCGGAACGGGCACCGAGTCCGGGCGCACCCGTTCAGGGTCGAAATCGGGTCGGACCGGCTACGCCCGCACACGCTGTGCAAGCACCGGGCAGCATCGGCTCGCAGGGAGAGCGAAATGGACTCGAGCCGGCCGAGCTCGACCCAGACACCCGATGTTCTCCGTCCTCCCAAAAAAACTCTCCCCGAAGAACGGCGCCCTGAGGGCGCTCCAGGAACCCGTGGCCGACGCGGTCCTTGGGGGCGCCACATCAGCAAATCGTGCCCGCGCCATATCCAGCACCCTTCAGCTTGCACTTGGTCCGGGTGGACTGGGTCAGATGCGACGCCAGGAGGCTACGATCTTGCTTCGTTGATGTTCAATATGCCGGCGCTGCTTTAGCGCGAGACAGGCCAACCGCTTCAACTCCTATCTTAATGGCGGCCTGGTCGGCCAGCTGCTCCTGCCGCGCTGCCGCCTGCAATATGCAGAGCACGCGAGACGGTCGCGAGCGGGCAGGCCTCGCCATCCTTGCCAGCGAAAATCATCGGGCCGGTCCACGCGCACCCGGCTCTGGGCAACCTGGAAGACACCAGGAGGACCCCTGATGCGACCCCACCCCAGGAGGCTTTTCCCGGATACCAGCGGCAAAACGTATGAAGTGTGGGAGCCCGAATTCAGATTTCCGAAGGCCCTGGGCAGCTTGGGAAACGATCATACTCCAATCGACACAAAGTCCTAAGGCCGATCTCGAGGAGGGGCCTTCGAGGACGGCAAGCGAAAATGCTTTTGAACGAGTAGCCCTTTTGAGCCCCGCGAACTTTAGGAACATATTGTGAGCCTCCTGAAACTCCTAGGCGGTGAAGCCGAATATCTCAGTTCCGACATATCCAGCTTGCTGGAGATCCAAGTTCCAACTCTCCCCAGCGTCTGCCCCCGCGGTTCGCGAAGCTCTTAGTCGACGAAGGAAAGAAAACGATGCACATACACAGATTCTGGCCAGGCCCATCCTGAGCCCAGGGTCGGTGCATACGGCCGCCGACCTTGGTCAGGAAGGCAGATGCACCGATCCTGGGTCAAGGATGGGCCGTGCCAGGTTCGGTGCATGTGCAAAAGTCTCCCTTGGCCAGAATTTCACGACGGGGACCTCCAGAGGTCTGGGGCCCATCCTGGGGACCGACTTATATTCTTCCCGAGTCGTATCCGACGGCCCCGGGGGCCTGGCAGGTGGACGGCGGAGGCCGCAAACAGCGAAACATCCTCCTGCGCCGACTGAGCATGACCCTAGCCACTGCAGCTGGGTCGTGTCCAGAGGGCCCGGGGAGCGGTGGGTATGGATAGATCTGCCCGCCAACGCGGGCGGGCAGATATCTGCAGCCACCGCTCCTCGAGATCTCAGGGCACGACTCCGAAGCGGCGGACGTGGACATATTCTGGCTAAGGGCTTCGGTCGCGCTTTTTTTCACGCCGCGAGGGGGTCCGAGCATCGAACTGGATCCAGACTGAACGAAGTGGGGCCCTGCCTTGCCGTTGCACTGGTCCAGGACCGTGGGGCACTCCGGCAGCTCCGGGCACCGCTGAACCTGCGACGGGTCTGCGGAGCTGTGAAGAGTCGTATCTCGTGATGGAAAGGACGAAGAGGAGGAGGAGGAGGAGGAGGAGGAGGAGGAGGAGGAGGAGGAGGAGGAGGGGGAGGAGGAGGATGGTGAGGAGGAGGAAGAGGAGGAGGAGGAGGAAAAGTTGAGGAGGAGGGGGAGGAAGACGACGACGACGACGACCTGCAGTACACTTTTCCGTTCCAAGTCCCGTCCTCATACGTCCATACAAATATTCCTTTGGACTGCGGGCGTTTCCCTTTGAATGACGAGCGGTCGGTCGGTCCGTTCGTCAGACGGGGGAGCCTGGTGTAAAATATCCTCCCTCACTCACTTGACGGACGCCAAAGGCAGCCCTATTTTGAGAATCGCATGGCGCCCGTTCGACTGAGCGCTGCAATATGCCAAAATCAAGGACGCAGGCTCCGCGAAGTCCCACGCGACAGACCTTCAACAAAAAGGCCCTGGCATAACTTCATTTTGAACACGATGTCGAAGTCGTAGCCGCATGTTTCGCGAATGTTTCACGTGAGAGCCTCGTTTCGAAAGGGGAACCGCTCTCCATCCGTGTTAGCCGTTGCACCGTGTGGAACGCCGGGTCGTCAAGGTCGAAGAAAGGTCAGGTGAATGTAACGAACAATGGACTTTGTACTCGATCGCGCGCGAGGCCAAATGGAGACACCAATGCAGCTGGGGCGTTCTGTCAGGAATGTGCCCAAGCGGCTGCAAACTCAGGAGAATTCCATAGCTGGTGAAGTCGGCGGTGGTGTCCATGGCACATCCGCGATTGGAGCTCCACCGGCTTCCATGTCCTGGGTTCCTTATCAATGGGTTCTTTGCCCAATGCCCCCACCGTCTCGGGAAAGATTCGCCATCCACTCGCGCAGCCAATGGCAAGTCGAAAGCCGAATTTTCACGGCGCCACGGCGGAAGTACCTTTTGTGAAAAAGACCCACCCTCTTTCAATCTTTTGCCTGGATATTCGTAATCCCTGCAACATGTTCCAATGATATATCATGGTCAGTGGGCTCCGCAGATGACACGGGTAAGAAGGGGTAGTGCCGTCAAGCATACACTAAGGTAACACTGACGAGAGGAGGCCGGCCCGCCGGCCGACGCACGCGCGCGCCGCAGGCTCGCTCCTTTTCCGTTTCCATAGAGCCAGAGTGTATAGCTGCGGGAGCAGAAGAAGTCAGTCAGTACAGCAGACGCACAGCGCGTGCAAGGAGACAGAGAGAGAGAGAGCAGGCAGGGCAAAATAATGGTGGTGCGGAAGGGGTGCATTGACTCCCCCCGCGGCGGGATCCGTAGAGCCGCCCAGACCCCCATCCCACCTGGCCTGTGCATATGTACAGCCACCGGAGCGAACCCCAAAAAGCATTTTACCGCTCGACGGTGGTTACCAGAGGGCGGAAGGCCGAAGAAACCCGACGTTCCCCGCCTGAGCTAATATTTCCAGCTTAGGCCTCAATGCCCACGCACACCTGGTGCACCCGCTCCACGAAGTAGCGCGGACAAGTGTCGACTTTGTCGTGCAGGTTCCATTGCACAGCATCACCTTCTCCATCGACCTCTCCATTCTCGAGAGTCATCCCAGGGATCGCTGTTGCTCCAGCGCCACTGGTTCTGGTCCCTGGAGGAGCTGTCCTCTCTTCTTCTCGAGCTCCAGCTACTTGGCTCACTCTTGCCCTGGCCCTTCAACGGCGGTCTCGCCTTCGGCGAAGGCGGCAGGGGAGGCACCGGCAAGGTACTTGGCGTCCCAGAGTCGCGCTGGAGCTTGTCGTTGTACTCGCCCAGACTAAGCCATTGCCACGTTTTGTGATGACCGGTGACTTGATGATGCTGGGATATATGTACACAGTATCCTCGAATGTCTCTATTCTCGGTCTTGCCTTCGTAGCCGACGGTCGCGTCGTGCACGCCGTCCATGGCTGGCCCGGGGCCGGCGCCATCGCGCGCGCGGCCGCCAACCGGCTCGACAGCCAGTCTTTGGGGAATGGGTTCCTCAGTCCAGGATTCATCCGCCCACGACTGGATCCTGTCAAAATCGATCAAACTGGCACTGGTGCCTGACGCGGCTGAGCCAGCAGACACAGGAGCAAAGGGAACGGCCCGATGAGATTGCCTTCCATACTGGAACCTCGGTCGCGATGCCGGGCGAGAGTATTGCTGAGTTCGCTGTCCCGGGGCGGCGGTGCCGCTCGGGCTACAGCATCTGCTGGCGACTCGGCTGGGACTGTCTCGGTTGGAGCTTTGGCATGGCCACTCTCCTCCATTTTCTTCTTAAGGAAATTGGTGATCCCAAAAGCGCTATCAGTATTGAGGACCCCGATAAGGCTGTAAGCGAGACAAATCTAGACACTAAATTGGAGCTCTGTAAATGTGTATAAAGACCATGGCCTCTTGAATGCCTGAGCAATTCCGTCGTGCGGTCTCAGATACTTTATTTCCAAATCCGTTGATCCAAGTATGAAGTACATCGAATGCCTCTACTGCAGCTCGGATCCGACAATCCAAAGCATAAGCATCTTGCAAGATTTGGGTGGATTGCGGATTACGCTGTACCGCATACGCCAGAAACGCAACATTGATCCCCGCGGGCATGGATATAACTATGACTTCTCGTACAGCTAACAGAACGCGCCCCCGTCTTCCATGGGTGGGGATGCGATCGCGGCTGCGAGCTGTTCGTTGCGCTGGTCAATCTTCGCCTGCAGGGCAGCGCATGGGGCCTGAACTGCCTCAGAAAGAGCCTTGTGCAGCATCTTCTTGGCCCCGTAGAGCATCTGGCGATCGTCTTCCAGCACCTCTAGCCCGTCCAACTGCGATTCGAAATCGATATCCAAATCAAATTTGCCGTCCAAGATCTGCTGGACATCGACTGAGGCTGCCTTTTTGCCAGGTAGGGCAGTGTGGGGCAAAAGCTGCTTTGCCGCTGCAATCTGCCCGATTCGGCGAGCTGCACCTCCTCCGTGGCGTCGCGCAGATCCTTCTCTGCCTTCTCGAGATCTCGCTTGTGACGGATCCACGCAGCCTTGGCCTTCTCAAGCTGCTTCTTTGCGCGATTGGCTCGAGCCGACGCCTGCTGCAGACCCTGCCATGGCTGGAAGGGGTGGCTTGGGGGGCGGGCTCCTCCAGGGCCTGCAGGAGCCCCTGAGCTGCGCCCTGGGCCTTGGCAGGCAGGGGGGGGCAACTTCCGAACCTGAGCCTTTGGCGCGAGCTTGGGAGCTGACTGCTGGCCCCCATCGCGCTGAGAAGTAGGCACAATATCATCTTCACTGAATGTGCAACCGCACTCGCATGTCCAATTCTTCGACTTGGGGCGATACTGGAAGAGCGTCTTGCCACAGGCGCTGCATTCCAACATGGGCCGCCCTCTGAGATTTTCCCACCACCCTGACGCACCCGCGTAATGATCAGGCTGGTGTGGCAGTTCTCCCCTCGACAGTGGTGGGTACTCAAGCCACAAGTATACACCTTTACGTGTGCCAACTCCTTTGGCTTTACCGCCCTGCCCCCACGGACTGTAAACAAACTTATTGTGGTGCATGGCGCTGCACAACCACCTGCGAACTGTGGGTGCGAGAAAAATGGGGGCTGGTCCCCCAACACTTTATCAAATACTGAATGTTGTTGGGGCCGCGTGCGCCAAAGAAACGCCCCCAATGCCACAATGTTCTCGTCCGCTGTTGACGCTCGGGCCACGCTACGGACTTGAACCAACATGACCAATGTGGCCTGCAAGACGGCCCTGAAGCGCTCCGAGAGGCCTCCGAAAAGGCCCACAAGATGCTAGCATAAGGCCCCAAGAGTCCTCCCCGCCTCCTCCTCCTCAGCCTCCTCCGTCTCCTCTTCCTCATCTTCCTCCTCCTCCTCCTCCGCCTGCTTCTCCTCGAAACATTAATCATCATCATCATCATCATCATCATCATCATCATCATCATCATCATCATCAGCAGCAGCAGCATCGTCGTCATCAGCATTATCCTCATCATCATCAGCATCATCAGCATCGTCATCGTCATCGTCATCAGCATCAGCATCAACATCACAATGACCACCATCATCATCATCACCATCATCATCATCGTCATCATCATCATATTCACATTCATATTCTTCTTCTTCATCATCATCATCGGAAGCATCATCAACATCATCATCATCATCATCATCATCAGTATCATCATCATAATCATCATCAACCTCACCGTCACCATCTTCATCATCAGCCTCATCAACCTCATCATCCTCATCACCATCCATCGCCTCCTCCTCCTCCTCCTCCTCCTCCTCCTCATCATCATCATCATCATCATCATCATAATCATCATCATCATCATCATCATCATCATCATCATCATCATCATCATCATCATCATCATCATCATCATCATCATCATCATCATCATCATTATTCTCTCTATTTGTCTTCCCACTCCTCCGCTTCTTCTTTCGCCCCCACGTGTTCCCCGAAGGGTTTCCACAACGGCTGGGAGAACACATGGTCGGATAGCTTGGAAGAGCTCTGGCCAGAACGTCTGGTTACATGGGCGCGTGGGCACCCCCGCGATCACTTCGCATTGGTCTTGACAGGGACGGCGGGGGTGTCAGCATATTACCTTCTGCACGCGGGCCCGCCATTTCTGTCATTTTGCAGCTCGAAAGGGACGGCGGGGATGCCGATGCAGGAATACTGCCAGTTGCGCGCAGGCGCGCCATCTCTGTCAAAAAACATTACCCAACACACTGTGCGCTGCATTGGGGGGGCCGGGAAAGCTGCGAGGAAGCTCCGGGGAGGCCCCAGAAAAGTGTGCAGGGCAAGAGGAAAACACAGCGGAGGCAGAGGAGAAGGGGGGACGGCGAGGGAAAGCTGGCCGGTCGGGGTGGGTGATCCTCCTTTCCTCCGTCTATTTCTGCACGCCGCGATCGAGCGCCGATGCTCTGCATCAGAGCTCTGGAACTGCAAGTGACGTGAAGCATCTGATTAACCATAAAAGGACCCCTAACCCTTTGGGAGAGGACCTGAGTTAGGAAGGCCCACAACATTAGGGATAAGGGATTTTCTCTGCAGATGAATTTTACCAAACCGCCAAGAATTACGATCTCTAGTGCGAAGACGGGGTCCTCAGTGAGGCCGTCCATGTCTTCATCGTGTTATTAAGGTTTGGGGTTCTTTTGGGCTCGATGAGAATATGTCAGCTCACGCGTGCGCGTCTGCTCTGGCAGCGTGGCAAGTAGTAGCGGCGTCGGACCGATCCTGCCCCACTTTAATGCATACCAGCCAGCGCGGTCCGCGGAACAAGCGTGAACAAAAAGTCGGCACGCACGCATGCCTGGGTCTTCAGATGAGCTAAGGGAGGTGTGGGAATACACCGCCTGTACTGGCATTTTTGCCAAGGTTCTGTCTGTGTGGCGCCATGTTGTGCGCCTGACCCTGTCGCTGTCACCGGCCCCGTATAATACAATTACGATAATGTGTCCCCTGGCAAGGGGGTCAACAAAACCACCCCCGTCTCGCGACTTGCGACGCGGATGGCTGATTTGCTATGCTTGAGCCAGCGTCAGCGCGGGGTTGGCTCGACACCCCAACTGGAAGGTAAGCCCGGCGCCTGCGCCCATGTTTTTTTTCAAACGACACGCTCTACAGCTCACCCCCGAAGCTCCTTTCCCGGAAACGTAGCTTCTCAAGGAAGGCGACGAGGGGCGCGAAGACTGTCCACAAAATTCTCCGAGCCCAGAAAGTGGCCCGGAGCCTTCGAGAGATGGCAGCAATCTAAGCGGTAGGCTGGTCTGGAGTGGTCCTTACAACCCAGTGGTCCTCGGGGAGAGGTTATAATACACTGGGATCGCTACTCTAGAAGCCCTGGGAGCCAGCTCAGGGGTTTTTTCCCCAAAACAAATCCCTGCGCGCGCCTGGGCGGGCATGTACGTGCCCGTTTTCGGCAGAAAAAATGACGAGTGGTTCACCTACGCAAGATGCCCCTCAACCGACGAGAACACGTGGCCGAGGCAACACCCGCGCACCACCTCGAAGCGGTGACGAGCTCCCGGCTCCAAGCTTCGTAGCAAAGGGGCGCTGTGGCCCAAATCTGGTCTGTCACTCCGAAGAGTGTGCATGCAGCGCGGGGCAGAGCTCAACTAAGAAATGCTCATGGGGTGAGGTGAGGGAGGTGGAGGAGAAGGATGCCTCGGAGGAAAGGAGAAACACGGAAGGGTTGAAATGCTGGTGAGTCGCGGGTGCCTCATTATAAAAACCCTCATGATGATCGCACGAGGGCGGGGGGGGGGGGCGTGCCTCCTAGATAAAGCGCATACGCAGTGGTTTACTCCTCCTCGTCCTCTTTGTTATGTTCCTCCTCTTATCCTTGAAGATCGACGTGTGGAACGCATAGCTCCTGCCATCCCGAGAGAGGGGGAGCTGCCACAAGCAGGGGGCATCAACGTCTCAGGCCGTCGAGGCAGGCTGCCGTGACGCCCGCGATCCGCGAGCGGCCAATCGCGCACCCTCGCCCGTAAGCGCCGCGGGTCGGCACCCAAGGCGCGGGGCGGAGAAAAGCTGGCTCAGACAGCGAACGTCGTGCTCGGCTCGCTGACTGGGACCTCGCAGAAATCGCAGACGGACACGCCCAGACGGCGTGCAGGGAGTTCGCGGCCCCGGCGGCGGCGAAGCAGGGGGTGCTCCACTGGGCGTCGTAGGCCACGCGCGTCGCTGTCTGAGCGTGCCCTCGGCTGGGGGGAGGCACACGAACGAGCTCTTCATCACCGTCCTCACCCATGTAGTCCGAGGCACACGGACGTCGCAGAGGCTTGGTCACTGGCGAGCGAGAGGCCTCTGCTGCCTTGCGATCTGGCTCTTCTTGAGCAGGTTCTTCAAGTTCCCGAAATTGGTCTGGTAGCTCTTCAGCCAAGTCGAGCTCCTCCTGGAGTGCAGGCGACTGGTCCTTTGCGCGTCGCAAGGTACATCTCGGCCTCCCGTTGGGCGTTGGTGGCTTCGGCGAGCCTGCGCTGGCACGACTGACGAAACCTAGCTGTTTCGCCGTCCCTGCGCCAGGTGCTCTGGAGTACATCAGCTGGTAGAACACGACCGAATACTCGAACCTCAGGGCCTGGAGCTGAGCCTCGTCCAAACGTAGCTCATGTGAGCACGAGATCTGGCGCTCGAGGCCCTCGAGCGTGGAGCCCAGCGCCTTGCGGAACTCGCCCAGCTCGTGGGGGCTGGTGGACGGCGGCTCCTGCCAGCAGCGGTGTGTCCTGGCGTCCTCGGGGGAGCACGGCAAGATGTTCAGTGCGTCTTCGTGGTCGTTGGCCTTGCTCGGTGGACGACGGGTGCCTGCGCGTTTCCATGGAGCAGGTATGGAAGCTGAGTCTGTCTTGCTGTGCATGTTGTTCTGTTTCTGCGGGATGCACTGCACGCACTTTGTAGACTCCAACTTGTTGGCGTAGCTGCGTGCTGGACACTCCCAAAGATAGCGTTGCTGCTGCTGCTGCTGTCCCTGCCAGGGCGCTCCTCGGCGGCGTGATGACTGCCGCGAGCGTGAGGGCTGCCTGCTACGCTGGGATGTCCAAGTCATGCTGCTGTGATGGCTGTTCAACAACTCGCTGGCGGCGGCTCTGCCGCGGTCGGCCCTGGCACGACGGTGCCAGGCCGGTTCGCCGCCTCGTTCACGGCTGGCCCTCCTGCTGCGCGCCGTGGCGGGGTGCGCGGGGAGGGCGGCGGGCGCGTCTAGCAGCTGCCGAGCACGAGAGGTCGCCTTACCTGGTAAGGCACCCGAAATCCTCTCGGGCCGGGGCGGCGGCTACGCGGGGGGGGGGGAGGAGGGGGAGGAGGAGGGGGGGAGCCTCCTGCCCTCCCTCCCCTTCCCCCCTCCGCCCGGCGCGGGTGGTCATGTCGCGCCGGGCTGGGCTGCGCCTCCCCTCTGTGAGAGGCCTCCTCTCTCTCTCTCTCTCTTCCCGTCGCCGCCCCCGTGCCTGCGGGGCACGCCGGCCAGGCAGCGCGGCGGGGGATGGGACGAGCACGGGCAGGTGGAGCGGCGGCCAGTCCACAGGAGACCTCCCACAAGGAGCCCGACCATGAGACCCCAGGGCGTGCATCGACTTTTGGGGTGGGAGCGCCACGCTTTCCACCGCAAGACCATCGAAATCCCCCCCAAAAAGTTATCCTGGCGAAAGACCCAACCATAAGCAATTGTTGGTAACGCGTTGTGGGTGCCGCTTTCGGTGGGGCTCCATATGGGGCCACGAAGCGCTGCCTTGGATGGGGGAACCGCATGCGGACTGCGCCACCGGGGCGGGCCTTCGGTGGAGCTCCCTATGGGGCTACGAAACGCTGCCCTGGGTGGGGGAACCGCATGCGAACTGCGCCACTGGGGCCTTCGGTGGAGCTCCCTATGGTGCCACGAAACGCTGCCCTGGGTGGGGGAAGCGCATGCGAACTGCGCCACGGGGGCTTTCGGTGGAGCTCCCCATGGGGCCACGAAGCGCTGCCCTGGGTGGGGGAACCGCATGCGAGAGCAGCCACTGGGGCCTTCGGTGGAGCTCCCTATGGGGCCACGAAACGCTGCCCTGGGTGGGGGAACCGCATGCGAACACCCCCACTGGGGCCTTCGGTGGAGCTCCCTATGGGGCCACGAAGCGCTGCCCTGGGTGGGGGAACCGCATGCGAACACCCCCACTGGGGCCTTCGGTGGAGCTCCCTATGGGGCCACGAAACGCTGCCCTGGGTGGGGGAACCGCATGCGAACACCCCCACTGGGGCCTTCGGTGGAGCTCCCTATGGGGCCACGAAACGCTGCCCTGGGTGGGGGAACCGCATGCGAACACCCCCACTGGGGCCTTCGGTGGAGCTCCCTATGGGGCCTACGAAACGTTGCCCTGGGTGGGGGAACCGCATGCGAACACCCCCACTGGGGCCTTCGGTGGAGCTCCCTATGGGGCCACGAAACGCTGCCCTGGGTGGGGGAACCGCATGCGAACACCCCCGGGAGGAGGAAGGAACGCGGGGCGCTCTCTCTTCAAAACGAGGACCCAACAACACAGGTTGGTTGGGAAAAACCAAGGGCACCGTGGAGGCAAGCGGGGTGTTTCTTGGCATGGCCCCCCACTGTGCTCCCTGCCTGCCCCCCTCCCCCCCCCCATACATACAGCGGGGGGTCTCGGAGTTTTGCCTCTCCTGCTCCACTCTGGCCGTGGGTCTTGAGGAGGAGCCTGCTTGAGGGCTGCCTTGTCGCCAGATTCGAACGGCTTGGCTTGGTGCAAGATTTGGAACTGGGCCCCCCTGGCGGCGCCCTTTGCGCCGCTTCGCGCGCCAGGTGTGGGGTCCCGGCGCCGATCCACAAAATCCGCATTGTCCTCCAGACGAGCTCAGCTCTGCAAGCCCTCCCTTCCTTCCCTTCCTTCCCTTCCAGCGCTGTCGGTCGGACTTCCAGAGCCGTCGCAGCAAGGTCGCTTCCGAACCCTCCCCGGGGTCGTGGCCCCTTGCTTAAAGGAACCTGCGTTCGAAGCTACCGCATGCCAGCCCAATGGGAGCACAGCTCTCTGCTCCCTCCCTCCTTCTCGCTGCTCCTTCCCTTGTCCCTCCTTCTCTCTGCTCTCTCCTTCTCCTCTCTCCCCTGCGCCTGCGACTGGTCTCCCGTGCACAGCGCGTCGCACGTGTTCTGTCCGCGGCAGTCCTCCAGAGCTCCGAACATACAGTCGGACCGAGGCCAGAGGACCATCCTGCAAGAACGTGGGACCCTCCGCTGGCCAAAGCAGACAGAACATCCGAGGGTGCCCTGGACAGGATGCACAAGAACATCCAACAAGCACGAAGAACACTACAGCCGGCCCGCCTCATAAGGATGCGCGATAAGGATGCAAGGGCCTTGGAGGCACATTTCGAAGCTTCTCGAGCGGGGCGCGGCCAACGAAAGTGACCCAGGATGGACCGAGGAGGCAAGGATGCAAGGGTACCCTTGGGAAGGTCGCCCACCATTGCAATGCGGGTTGACTGTAGGGCACCCTCCCCGAACCGACCGCGATCTTAGACCTCGGTCCAGCTGCATTCCTACGATCCGAGCCCTCGCGGTCTGGACAACCCGAGGCGCGATCCCAGTGATGCCGTGGATGCCGTGGACCCACTCGGCGCGGGGCGTCCGCGCAAAGCCGCCCTGTAATCATGGCGCCGCGGCCGTGAACCAAGACCCCCTCGCGCTGTGCAAAAAACACGGCGGGACGCTTTTTGCTATGTTTGGCCTCCGCGGGCCCTCCCAGGGGCCCGATGACCGTCAACAAACGCCTCAGGACGAAAAACCGGTTTTCCAGGGAAGGGGGAAAATCACGACGTCGGGGGTCTGGGAATATGGATACCCAGACATCCGACTGTGTGGTGTGACAGGGGATATGTTGACCCCTATCCCAGGCTTCGTGGGCTTCTCGAATGGTTCCAAAGTTTGGAGCCAAACCCTGGGATACATGAGGGGTCGGCGTCCACCCTCGATAAGGGTGTGTCCGAAATGCCCCCTGGGGGTGTATCCCAGGGCTCCCCTCCTGTTCTGAGAGGCTACATTTCTCACCGAAGAGTAGGGGGATCGGGGACAACAAATCGCCTGCGACCATGCGTTCTGCCAAACCGTGGCCCCAGAGCTCTCGACCCCCTTCTCCACTGGGCGCTGCAGGGACCCTTCTCCTCCTCCTCCTCACGCTCCTCCTCCTCCTCCCCCTCCCCCTCCCCCTCCCCCTCCTCCT